TCGTTTTAATGCAACAAAAAGGGTAAAAACTCCTTGGAAGATCCTTGAAAGTAAGGTTTCGACCGAATTTGGCATTTGACAAAAATTTCGGTAATTTTTATTAAAGCATGCGTTACTAAGTGAGAGAGATGTAATTAATTGGTCTACATTTTGCAATACATATCCCCGAAAATATGGTCCAACAATACCGATTGACTTGTCTCTGATAGAACGAATAAGAGGAGACGACTCATTATGTATCATGACAATGCGAGCTCTCACATTTCGGGGCCTTTTTAGCAGCAAAAACATGGAATTTTGCTGGACACGTAAGCCTGAGACTTACGCCTAGAATCCGTAGAACACCAGCTTTGACTATATACCATTTTTAGGATTGTCGCTCAAAAAAAAAAAAACTTTTTGTGGAAAATTCTTAGCAATAGGATATAAAGATTTCGTCCCATTCGTTATATAATTTTGGAGCATTTTTCAAACGTTCCATGACATAGTCCCTCACTTAAGGGTTACGTTTTTTTAAGTTGTTTGCCTCATTTTCCAACCGAAAAAAAAAACTTTTAAGTGGAATAATATAAATATTAGATTGGGGGAAAAAGACATCTATTATTTTTGTATAAATTATAGGATTTTATTAAGCATGCTTCGGAATGTCCGATTTGGGCGAAATATGCGCCGTGATTTGCTGCCATTTTAAAGGTAACTGGAAAAAATCAATTTTCACAATCCTCCCTAGATACCAATTTTTCTGTCATTAAAGAAATTTTGCAATGCAAGAAAAATATGATAATCGCTTGATACCAAGTCCGGACTGTATGGCGGATGCATTACAAATTCCCAACCAAGCTCCCGAAGTTTCTGGCGAGTCACTGTAGATGTGTGTAGACTAGCGTTGACCTGGTAAAACACGACACCTCCCCTGTTGGCCCATTCTGGTCAATTGATATCTTTAAACGGTCCAGTTGTTGACAGTAGAGAACAGAATATAACGTATGACCATATGGAAGCAACTCATAATAAATAAACCCCTCCCCGTCCATCCAAATGCTTAGCAGGACCTTCGTAGCCGTTAGTCCTTGTTTGGCCACCGTTTGTGGTGCTTCACCGCTCTTTGACCACGATCGTTTTCGCATAGGGCCGTATGTGATCCATTTCTCATCATCTGTTTAAGAAATGTGTCTATCACATTCCGTTTGGCCAAGGCTTCGTAGATGGAAATTCGATCAATCCTATTTTTTCTGTTAATTGTTTTGGCACCCAAACATCGAGCTTCTTTTTTAATCCAGCTTTGTGTAAATGGTTTAAAACAGTTTTATGGTCGATTTTTAGATCCTGGGAGATGTTACAACTGCTATCATGCCGGTCAACTGTGATCATTTCTCCGATTTTATCGACATTTTCAACGACCGGCCTAATGGATATCCTTTTCTCCAACCTAATATTTGCATTTCCATTCCATTAGACCGGAAATGTCTAGGAATGCACAAGTTATTTATGTTATTCGACCAAAAAACGCTACAAAAATAGCAAAATATGGAAAATTCCTATGGTATGCCATATAAAATGGTCGGCCCAGCCCCATTGTACACTTCTACCTTGAAACTTCTTTGTCATTTTTATTACGTACTTAAACCGCTCATTGCAGTTGCATATCTATAAAATTTATTTTTGATAAGAGGTTTAATTATAATCTATTTATTTTTTCATTTCACAGAATTTTTCGTAGAATTTAATTCGTTAGGCGTTGAAATGGGCGAGAAAATGTAATTTGTTGTCTTAAATTGCCGGAAATAACTTAATTATATTATTGAAACCCCTGCCAGAAATTTTTACTTGACTAAAAATAAAATCTAAAAGTATTCCAAGAAAAAATATTGTTTAACAAAAAGCCTTAACTTCTCTTTTTTACACCAGCCGCATTTTCAAAGTTCGTTAAAAATAAATCAATTGGAAAATTGTATTTAAATATTTAATCAATCATTAGGAGGGAAAATATTCAAAACGCTCTGAAACTTTACGCCCACTTCTCTGTGTATATTTTTGAAAATGTTCAAACTTAAACTCATGGCTTATAGTGTGTTTACCTTTCGCCCGTCGTACTTTTGCCATCCGCCCCTCTACACTAATCCGAAGGCAAGCAATGCGATAACATTTTATCAAAATAACCGATAATTAATAACCCATTAAAATTGCTGGCATTTAAACTATCTGTCTATCGTTTAGAATAATAAATTATTCGACAAGCATTCGTTCGTTGGGGCCATAGTAGTAGTAGTAGTAGCCGAAGCAGCACCAGCTTCGAGGCAGACAGACAGACAGCCACACAATAAACACACTTCCATTGTTCAGAAAGAAACGTGGTCCAGCAGTGAAGGAGAAATACGAACTGAAGCAAACTGAAGCAAACTGAAACTAATAATACGTACTCACTTCACAATGGAGAGCAGAGAATTTCAAAGTGAAATATTTCCAGTGAAACAAAAAAAAATTAAAAAAATCTAAAAGAAGGCAAAATAATTAAAAATGCTACGCTTCGTTAAGTCTACCGGTTCAAACTTTAGTCATTCTTGTCTTTTTTGCTATGCGCTCGACTGAATGAGCGGATAATTTTAGAACCACTAAATGAAAGATGCCGACCAGCCAACCGCCCGGCCATTAGGGAAGTAAAACTGGAAATATTTTAGTTTCTAATCGAATGAAATTGTCGTCATTTTAAAGAGGCAACGTTTAGCAAGAGATTGTATTTCGAGACTATCAACAATTTATACACATACACACACTCATATTTATTTCGAAATTAGAAAATTGTCAAACTCATCAATAAATAAATAGGCCGTAGCAGCGGCAGTGGCAGATGCATTTTCATCAATTTGATATGGTAATGGTTGGCGGGCCACAAGAAATATTGATATTGACATTTTGGGGTTCCGTGTCAACGGTGGTGCCCTAAGATGCCACAATCAACCAAACACATTAAGATCAACACATAATTTACATTACGAAGAAGAAGGAGAAAGATGTCATTATCATCGTTGTCTTCTTGCTCTGAAATTGGTTATCCCATGGAAATATTTTTAGGGACAGCATTTTGAAATAGGCCACACACTTTTCGTTTGGATTGAAAATAATGTAATTCAGTTCAGTGATTAATCTGATGAATTTTTGTTATAAAAAATTATTTTATTTTCGATGAGTTTGTAAATGTACGTATATGTGCTGAAATTAATTGTTATGCACTATGATTCTGCATTTGATGTTACCAATGGAAAATTTTTATAACACTTGGTCAATTTAAAATTTATTGTGGAATACAATTATGGGTGTAAAGAGAGTAATTGACAGCGTACATGGTCTACTATTGGTCGGAGGCTACTCTATATATTAGGTTGGAGAAAAGGATATCCATTAGGCCGGTCGTTGAAAATTACGATAAAATCGGAGAAATGATCACAGTTGACCGGTATGTTAGCAGTCGTAACATCGCCAAGGAGCTAAAAATCGACCATAAAACTGTTTTAAACCATTTACACAAAACTGGATTCAAAAAGAAACTCGATGATTGAGTGCCACACCAATTAACAAAAAAAAAATAGGATGGATCGAATTTCCATCTACGAAGCCTTGCCAAACGGAATGAGATAGACCCATTTCTAAAACGGATGGTGGCTGGAGTTGAGAAAAGGATCACATACGATTACCCTGTGCGAAAACAATGGCCAAACCAGGACTAACGGCCAGGAAGTTTATGCTATGCATTTGGTGGAACGGGAAGGGGATTATTTATTATGTGTTTTTTCCCATATGGCCAAACACTAAATTCGCATCCTTACTGTCATAAACTCGTTTGAAGATAACCAGACCAGAAACGTCCAGAATTCGCCAACACGAGAGATGTTGTGTTCCACCAGGACAACGCTAGTTCACACACATATGCAGTGACTCGCCAGAAATTTCGGGAGCTGGGTTGGGAAGTTTTAATGCATTCGCCATACAGTCCGGACTTGGCACCAAGCAATTATTACCACATTTCTTTAATGATAAAAAATTGATAATAGGGAGGATTGTGAAAATCGACAACTAGGGTTTTTGCAAATATAGAGCAGGATTTCGATGAGAGAGGCATTATGAAGTTACCTTTAAAATGGCAACAAATCATACAGGAAAACAGTGAATATTTGGCCCAAATCGGACATTCCGCAGCATATAGTCCTATAGTTCATATAAAATAATGGATTTCTTTTTCCCCAAACTAATATTTTCGGCCTAACATTAAAAATCAAAAATATTTTTATTGGTTTTCTCCACTTCCTGCTCAAACCAACACTCGGATTTTGACAGCTCCAAGCATGATTTTTGATCGTATCAAAGTTCAGTACATCCATAATCAAAAATCGACTTCCAGAGTTTGTATAAACTTGGTTACATATTTTATATTTAAAAGTTTTCAAAATGTTGACTAGGAGTAGTAGGCGAATAAACCCCATCTTCAAACATTACACAGTCTTGGTTAAAATATTGGGATGTATATTGGTTGTTTCAAATCGGTTACTACATTCGCTAGATTTATAATATAATTTAAAATTTAACTTTTTGTGGACCTACGAGTCCCATATTCGAACTTGACCTAGTTTGATCTACACGCCGATTTATTACTTCGATAACTATGGTTTAAAAATCTGATTTCTTAAAAGTAACTGCCATCAATGAAAGTGTAAATGCCGTCGATTTCCGACTATTTATAAATTCCAACATAAATCCTTCTTTGGAGCCTGATTTCTTATCTAAACAATATGGACTCAAATGCAAGCCCACTTCATAAACGTCGCACACTATACCATAGATTTATAGGTTCGCTCAATATGGGTAAAAAATCTTCTCCCTTAAAAATTCTGCAAAATCGCCATCATTATTTGCAATAGAAAACAAATTGTCATCACAAAATCATTTAAATCCTCGATAAATGTTGTTGTTATTGTATCCTTCCGTTTTGATTTGTCTTTAATTACCTTTTTCATTGAAATGTTGCGGCAACTGGATATCTATCGCCTCAAAGTCTCCGCGAACATCATTACAATGGAGTCCATCTTTTGAATTGGAATCGCGACGCTGTAAGCGGCGATTGCGATTATGATGATGGAGACTGTGTGATTGATGATGATGCAGCGACGAGGCCTGATGATGATGCGGTGTTTCCAAATAGCTATTGGCGGTATCCAAATCATGTGAAAAATCCAATTTTTTTGCTGTGGCGGAGGCCACAAAAACGACCAAGGCAACAACAATGAATTTCATTAAGTTGTTGTAAATGTTGTGGCAGGATAAAAATGAATGTCGTTGATTTTGTTTGAAAGCCATTTTTGGTTGGATTTATTACGACGGTACGAAGGGTGCGGGTAAGAAAATGTATTCCTTTTTAAATAACTTTTTTTTAATTTTTGGGTTTGATTTTTTTGTAATAATAATACAAAATACACAAATTTTTATTTTTTAATAATTTTTTTAGCCTTTTATTTCAGCACATTTGTGGTAAACAATTTTTAGGACACTGTAATACAAATTAATTTTGTATAGGCCTTATAAATATATATATTTTTTGCTTTTAATTTTTATCTTAGACACATTGCATTACATTTCTTTATATTATGGACATTCTTGATATTTTGTTTCGATTTTATATTTTATTTTTTTTTTCTATTTCCTTATTTTCGATGAACTTTATTTGTATGCTTTATTTTTTTCTTTCTTTCTTTACTTTATTTTGTTATCTTATCGATTGATTTACTCTTTTCTTTTCATTTTATTTTTGTAATCTATTTTTTAGTTGTGTGTTGTTGTTTTTTTTTTTAATTTTTTATTAAATTTTCTTTAAGGTTTTACTTCTTTGACGTGGTGTTGTTATTGTTGGCGTTTCTCTCACTCTGTGTGTGTAAGTTTAGCCGGTATATTCCACAATTCTTTTTTTGGTGGGGAGATTTGGCTTTGGCTCAAAAATGAGTTGTTGTTGTCGTTGTTACAACAACTATGCCAACAACAAGGTGACAGCAGAAGAATCAGTAAAGCAGAGTGAAAAAAATCATTTACACGACACTGCACAAGATTACGACAAAATACGCACGCACACAATCACATAAATGTTGTACACTGCGTAGCAAACACTCTCGCTTACTCGCCACTCTAGCAATTTGTTTTTTACCAGAGCCAAATAGACGATGGCGACCAACACACGACAGACGAGCACGATGGATGATGACGACGAGAACAAACAACGTTGGTTACTCAACTGAATGGTGGAGCATCGAAAGAACAATGATGTCTCGTTGCTGCTGGGTTTGAGATATGACACAGGCGACGTCGACGTCTCAGTTGCTGAGTAACTTGTGTGACTGACTGAGCATGAACGGGAGTATGAACCGAGAGAGAGGCCGTCAGAAATGTTATGTGTGAGTGTGTGTTATGGTATGAAGTTAGGCCAGACACCACGGCTGTTTCGTTGAATGCTTTGTTTGTTTTTGTTTTTCTAACCGGCTGGCTGCTCTTCTCGTTGTGGTTCTGGTTTGGGGTTGCTGTTGTAGTTGTTGCAATGTTTCGTTTTGTGTTCTTTTTTGTTTATTTGTTTGGGGTGAAGGAGACGAAATAGGTTGTTCGTTACGCAGGTTGTTTGATTATACAGTCACTAGCCCCATCAAGCTCACACTCGAGAGCACACATCCACAGTCAAAATAGACAGACAGACAAACGAGCATTTATTTAGTTATGTGCAGAGAGTTGTAAGGGGAGGTCAGGCAGAGTCGTCCCCAACGTGTATCAGATGATTATGTTATTCATTTGCAAATGGGGAGTAATGGCTTTGTTTCACACTCTCCCACTTTAGTTGGCATACACACAAGACGCACACCAGGAATCATCAAACCAATTTTGATGTTGGGTTAAACAGGCAAACTTCTTGGTTGCTGATGTTTTGACTTGGCTCTTGATGAAATAAAAACACTTTCAATTTATTTATGTTGAAATTTAATTGTTATATTTATCTCATTTCTTTTTTTTTCTCTCCCAGAGAGACCACACTTTATTTTTTGTTTTCGTCATATAAAAAACACTCGCAATCACAGATATTCCGTTGTGTGTTTGCTTTTTTCGAATTTAAACAATTTGATAGTTATGTAGATATTTATCTACCCTTTTACGCCAACAAATAATTGAACACGAAATAAAAACTAATCGATTTAACTTTCCGCCATTAATATCTTAGCCATCCAATCGCATTGAAAACTCGTACTCAACTAAAACATGTTTGAAGTGTTCGATAGTTTCTGCTGCCTGCTTGGTGGTAGGTTTGATGAGAGACGTTGCAGCGCTGTTTGCCAAACACCAATGGCAGCGACAGTTATTGGAAGATAACGAACATGTTGGGGACAATGTTTAAGGTTGCATGTTGCAAGTAAATTACAGTAGGGACTCGATAAAATATTTACATTCTAAAATAGACACATGGGCATTTCTTGCAAAAGGTAAACCAACGTCAAATATTTTTTGTAGTTGTTGATGTGTTACGGCAAAAAGTACAAAGAACGAACACATTTGTCATATTTTCTTCTTATTCTTAGTATAAAAACTAATTTAATGAATACATATGCAAATTAAGCATAAATAAAAACTGGAAAATCAAAAATGCCGCATAAGTTACGTCGAATCAAACCTTCGACAATTCGCAGATTTTTCCCTGTATTAGCAATGACATATAAAGATTTATCTGAAAAGTTCAATTTTTTACCACTGATAGTACTTCTATGTAATGCAAAAAAGTACGAAGGGTGAATTGCCGCGACAGTGTCCACATGCTAAAAAGGTCGGTGGAAACCTGGATTTCAATAATTTCAGTAGTGAATAGTCCGCACCACCAGGAACTGAATTCGTGAGGGATAATTTAGATAAAAGGTTTTATACAATAACGAAGAATCCATAAGTATTTCGACATTAACCATAAAAATACAGATCACGATTATTTTTATCAGAAGAACAAAGGCGGGATATTTTGAGAAACCGATTTTTTTTAACAAGATAAATAGTGTTTCAAATAGTATATGTCGATCGTTTTGAGTGTTGGTAATGAAGAATGCACTTTACGGACACTAATTACAACAACTACATACATACATACATACATATGGGGCTCCAAAGTTCCAAAACTACCCCCACCTATTATTAAATATCTTTAAGAATACTACTCCAAAACTTTTGAAATTTTTACAATATTAATGGTACTATTTTATCAGCTGTAGATTCATTTGTTGATCTTGGTATTTTAATGGTTTCAAAATTAAATTTTAATTATCATGCAATTCCTATGGTAAACAAAGCCCACGGTGTCTTAGGATTTATAAAACGATGGGCTAAAGAATTCTCTGATCCATACATTGCAAAGCAACTTTTTACATCTCTTGTGCGACCCATATTAGAATATGGCTCTGTTGTATGAGACCCCCAATATACAATATATTCCGATAAAATTGAATTAGTGCAGAAACAATTTCTAATTTTTGCACTGAGAGGTTTACATTGGAATAGTGACTTTGTGTTGCCTTCTTACACTAGCAGGTTAAAATTAATTCGAATGCCTACATTAAAAAGTAGACGTATTATGTTGAACACTATGATGGTAATTAAAATACTAAACGGTAATATACCCTCAGAATTCCTAATTTAATCCATTAGAATAAATGTTCCTTTTTGATAAAGTAGATATTATCAACCACTATACATAGATTTTCATCGCACAAATTATTCTATGGGAGATCCACTTTGTAAAAAGTGTATCGATTTCAATTCTGTGTGTTCTAACGTAGACTTTTGCATGAATATAGAACTAATAAAATCTAATATAATTATATTTTTAAATAAATAATACAACTTAAAAACAAACAATATTTCAATTTTATCCAGATAATGACCACAAACACAAGATCGTTCGAGAATGGATGCATTATTATTGTCTAAAGGTGATTCAAACAACTCCTCAGAGTTTGTAAAGCCGCAAAATATTGGTCCTAGAACTACCTTTAAGTGTGCCGATCGACTAGCTGAGTCGATCTAGACATGTGTTCGTCCGTCTGTCCATTGTAATTTGTAAACACGGCTTAGGCCACAGTTATGGACCCAAACACCACGAAGAGAGACGGGTCTGGAATAGAATAGAATAAGAATGGCCGTTTTGATGAAGATCGGTCAATAGTCAAATGGGTCCAGACTTTTGTGTGAAAAGTGACAAATGACGCCCCAGAATATAATTTATTTACTCCTAAAAACCTAGACTCGATAAGTTGATAGTATATCCCAGAGTGGTGGTTGAATTTAAAATTGATACCAATTATATTGTCGTATGTACTCGGCTGTGTGAGTCATATTTAAATATTTACGTTTTATTGTTCAGCATTAGCCCACTAGGGGGCGGAAATGTCGCGATGATCGCTTTGAAATTATACATGAAATGCCGGTTTTGTTTGATATTTAGGGAGTGTCATGAACCAAAACGTTATTTTTGTCAGATTTTCTAGTCGCCCTAGGTGCCCATTATATGCAGAACACAATATTCACCTAGGGAAAACAAGATTTGGAAAATGTGCCAGGGTTAGAAAGTGTAACTGCTGATCCTCCAAAACATAGACTTCAGTGGTAGTAGTGTAGAGTATCATATAGTCGGCTCCGTCCGACTGTACTACTCCGTTTATATCGAATTCACAAAAATATTGTTTATTTCATTGCTATTATTTAAGTAAAGATATTCATGCCCACATATTATATAAAAAAGAATAAAATGTTATTCATTGATTAACTTGCACTTATCGCATTTTTATTATAAAAAACGAAGTGGATACTTTTGACTTTGACTAACCGTATGTGGGAAAGAAAATCACCTGCAAGTTATTATTAACCCATGGTGGCCAATATCCTCAAATAATAGTTTCAATAGAAAAATGTCTAAGTATTTTTGTGCAACTGTTTAAGTTTTGTTTCAATTACTATTCACGTTGTATACGTTTGTATAAAAAACTAAAGAACAATTTTTGTCAGTGTACTCAAACTCCAGATACAACAACAAATTGTTCTACGCATCTAATAATGATCAAACCTCTTTTAAACATAGAATTTCAAGTCTTAGATACATTTTCATTGATGCATTTCATTTTCATCTAAGAATTAGATATTAACAAACAACAATTCATTCATTCTTTTCTGTATGACAGACATCATCATGTTGTATGTGTTTCGTTGATAATACATGTTCGTTCACAACATGTAGTGTCAGTTAAAATTGCATTCATTAGATACATTTAGGTTCTTTTTGTGTATGACTGTGT